ATTTGAGGTGGCGTTCATCCGATTGAACGCGTTGAATTCGCAATCGATGCGATCGGGCCAGCCACTTCATCTCAGATGATCACCGCTGAGCTCCTGTGCATCATGGTCGAGGTAGCGCGTCAGCTGGACTGCATCTCGTCACAAAAATGGGAAATCCGAATTGGCCATCGAAATCTTATCGTTGCTGCTGCTCGATATATGGGCTTTGGCGATTTCAACAGCCAGAATAAGATTTTGAATGTTCTCTATGCTATTTCGACATCAAACAGTAAGTTCCAACGATTATTTCAGATAAAGTCAAGTAATCTCCTTCTTTGATTGTGCCGCCTAAGTTGTCCACTCTTTTGTCCTTCTTCGGATGTTCGTGAATTGCATTGTTTTACCTCGTTAATATTTATTTAACTCTTCCTTGCGCTTCTCTTTTCTGCTTCAGTTTTACTCCTCCTAAGCTTATCCTTGTTCCGTTGCGAAGGTGGAGCCAGTAGATTTCGGGATTGTCGGATTTTGGGTGGTTTTTTCTAAATTATTGTACCTACTAATACCACTGCAGTGAAACCTTATGCATGCATTGACTCTGCTGAGGTAATATCCGTGGATCTTTCATTTCGTTAAATGTCGTACCGCAGGTACAGTACCGTAAACCTGTGTACCACTAATTTACGTATAATTTGCTTGGAATCTGCGACCTATTTCACATGAAAAATTATGATATCGATTTTGATGTCTTCTTTTGATTATGTAAGGCATGAAAGGAGAGTGCTGCAGAAATGCTTCGACGTGAACAAAGAATCGAGCGGCTTCGTGTTGGCACAGAAATGTCGTTCAATCAGGCCAATTCGTTGTTGAATGTTCTCGAAGGTGATGAATATTCGCTGGAAGCGTTGATTGCAAGAACGCAGTGCTTGATCAGCTGTCGTGATGATAGTGTACAAGAGTTGGTGCGATCAGCCATAGATGTCCTCACCAATGTTTCTCTCTTATTGGAGTCTTTCGTCGGCGCAGGTTCTTATTTCAAGAATTTTTGTTTTTTAAGAATTTTGTTCTGTTAGAATTTCAGGTGAGAATTCTGACAGATTTTACTGGGAAAGTGTAAGAAAAATGTTGCCGCGATAAGTTTGGGAAGGGTTCTGCGTTCAAATCGTGCCGCACTGAGCCATCAATGTCATTGATCACGTCCGTCCACTTTTCAGCAAAAATGTGGCCCTGGATGGTTGCACTGGAGCACAATAACTTTAGTCCACTCGCGTCAAAAAATTACAGCTTACAAAGAGGTTGTTATGAATGGGATAAGTTACTGAGTTTGATTTATCTTAACAGTCTGTAAATAAATGGCCAGCGCATCGACTACCGACGCAAAGATGCGTTTTTGCATAATTCCTCGCAAGTTTTTGTCGCTAATGGCACTGGTTCACTCTGCAGATGCTTCTAGCTAAACGAATTGAGGCTGGCCGCCAGGACTGTCTGAAAACATAATTAAAGTTTCAGATTTCT